AGTCCAACCTGAGCCTTTGGAAGAATTGTTAAACTTGCCTAACTTGCCTAACTTGTGTTGTGCAATGTTAGATTGTTATCTAGATTTTTATCTACAAAGCCGTGCAAACGATGCAGAAAAATCAGCATTGTTAAACTGTTAAATGTGTGTTCTTACATACTGGCAAAGAGAAGTCAAATGTTGTTGAGTCAATGTTAGGACAGGAAATAGTAGTATTTTGCTATAATTTAAAATCTCTTGTGTTTTCTTTGTCTTGCAGGGCGTTCATGTAGGAAACATGACAGAAGAGACAGAGAAGATCAGTAAAAAAACAGACAATCCTGACTGGTCCCAGGATGATCATTCAGTACAAGAAAAGAAAAGTCACAATCCTGTTAAACACACAGACAGTCCCAGAAAAAAACCAGAGCATGACAAGAAAGCTCGTGTGAAGCCCACCGGCTGGACGTGTGGCGAGTGCCTGAAGTGGTTCCCTGAAAGAGAGTCCTATGTTTCCCACGTGAAGACCAACCACAGAAAGGTGAGGTCAGGTTCCCCTGTGCTGGAAAGTAAAACCAACACAATAATGACTGCAGCATTCGCTATAATATCATGATAAAACAGTCTGAACGTGGTGGCTAACTCAACTGCAACTTCAATTATCTTAAACTTCAACATAACACCGATTTGTCCAGATCCAACTACTGAAAATTGTAGCAATCAATTTAGTATTGAAAATGGATATTATAGCCCGAAGCTTTTGTGCTGTTTTTCTTGTATTGATGAAATAGAAGTGTTTTCTTAATGTCAAACAACCACTTACTTGTCGTAGTCCACCTGAAAATGATTTTACCAGATCAATAGTTTGGGTGGTATTTGTTATTAGTCGACCTTATCTGAAACACCTTGGCAAACGGCTGTCCAGTGACATAAGGAAATGGTTGAGAGGACAGTGAGCCGTGTATCTGAGGTCAAAGTGCGTGTTGATTAAATTAATTGAAGCTTCTTGGCAAGGGACAAGCTGCTGACGTCTTGATTCTTGTATTAAAGCTCCCATGTCATGCTTTTCCGGTTATTACCCGTCCCCTTGTGTGTTAGGAAGGTTTTTATGCATGTAAACGGTCTGCAGAGTCAAAACCCTCAAAGTACACCCTGTAGCGAGTAAAACTCTAACACAGAAAATACCTCCCCAAAACGCCTTGTTGGAGATACGTCACTGTCCATTGATTCTTCCGGGTAACTCATGATGTCATGCGTTACCCGGAACCAAATGGACCAATCCGTGGAGCCGTTACGCTACGTCCGCGGAGCCGTTACGTTAAGCCCCCGCTGATTGGTCCAAATTGACCAATCCACGGACTTCCTCACACACACACTCAGTGCAGGCAGCTCTGCTGATCTCTCCTCCCTGGCTGCAGGCTGATAACAGACAGTTGGGATCGCGGCGAAATTCTCTCTGCAGACCCATTCTCACAGCGTTTATCAACCTTTTTCTTACTCAATATCAAGCCACACTTATTGTTTTTACTTCGGCTGTGACTTTGTGTGTGCTCAGGGTGAGTTTGGCTGTGTTTCGCTTCGCTAAACAAGGAAACCACACCTCCACGGAGCTCAGCGCGATTCACAACGTCCCAACCAATCAGAGCACACTGTGCTCACAGGGAGGGTGGGGGCTGGAGCTATTGGAGCTACAACGAGCCGTTAAAGGCAGAGAGTGAAATTCAGTGAATACACGTAGTTTACAGAGATGCTGTTTGAGAAACCAATGTGAGTTTGGAAAATTGCACAATATAAATCTATTCTAGTAGACCTCAACAATGGAATTATGATCAGTGGAAATGGCCATGACATGGGACCTTTAACTTCATTTGTTTCCTGTTTGTAATTAAGCTACATGACATCATGTTTATAATTGGTTACATTAGCCACAAACCATAAAGGAATTACCTCCTAACTTGTGTGTGGATTATAAACTTTCAACACGTTCATAATTACATTCATTATAAAAGTAACATTTGCTTTTATAAGTCAAGTTTGTATGCACATCTGCTAACCCTAACCCTTTTGGATTTTCCAT